ACCAGTAATTGCTTAGAAAGTGGTTTGACAGCATGAAACTTCTGTGTAACAGCGTGGCAATGAAGTTGCCACTTTTAAAAATGTCTTGAAGAGTGCCAGTAGAGTACAGTATTATGTAATCATTAAAAAGCCTATTTTTTCACTAAAACACAACTTGCATCAAAAAGCATATTTTTGAATAATATGTAATGACACTAAAAATGTTCATGGTGTAAGTGAAATGGGTAGCTGTACTCCTCAGTCACCTTAATCTCATACAAATATTTTAAAAATATAAGAATATACAAGAATGGCAAAACTGGGTTCTCTAAATGATGGAATTGGAGTTAAGGATGATTTTAATCTCTTCTTTTTTTTTTTCTTCTAAGTATTCTATGATAAGCATGCAACTTTTTGTAGATTTATTTTTATTTTAATTGTAGGGGGCATGCTTATATGAGTTCAGGTACCCACAGAGATTCTAGATGCCCCTGAAGCTGGAGTTGCAGGTGGTTGTAAACTGCTCAGTGCCAGTGGTGTTGGGAATTGGGCTTGGGAGCCTCTATAAGAGCAGGACATGCCGGGCGTTGGTAGCGCATGCCTTTAATCCCAGCACTCGGGAGGCAGAGGCAGGCGGATCTCTGTGAGTTCCAGGCCAGCCTGGTCTACAAGAGCTAGTTCCAGGACAGCCTCCAAAGCCACAGAGAAACCCTGTCTCGAAAAACCAAAAAAAAAAAAAAAAAAAAAAAAAGAAAAAATACACAGAGAAACCCTATGTGAAAAAATAAAAACAACAACAACAACAAAAAAGAATATACCACTCAAATGCTACCTGTGCAGAGGCATTTTTTTAGTTTATGAAAATTAAGAAAGAGGAAACATGAGACAAATTCTCTGTCCTCTCCGTAAACAAAGGGCATAATAAAGTTTCCCTTTGTAAAGATAATCCGTGCTTCCTTTTGTTAAGGTTACTCCCTCTTCCTCTCCAGGACAAGAACATTTTGTTGTTTGTTTGTTTGTTGAGACAGGGTGAGGTGGGGTCTCTCTGTGTATTTCTGGCTGTATTAGAGCTAGGCTAGCCTTGAACTCACAGAGTTCTGCCTGCCTATGCTTCCTGGGTGCTGTGGAACAGTCTTTGTACACTGTAAATATGTATTACTCTCAATGGTTAATAAAGAGCTGACTGGCCTATAGCTGAACAGGAAGAGATTAGGCAGGAGAGCCTGACTAGGGGGACACAGGCAAGAAGAAAGGGTGGAGTCTGAGGAGTCTTCAGCCAGATGCAAAGGAAGCAGGACTTGTACAAAATGAAGTAACAAGCCATAAGCCATGTGGAATAGAAATGGGTTAATTTAAAATGTAAGAGCAATTAGTAAACAAGCCTAAGCTATGGGCTGAGGATTTATAATTAATAATAAGCCACTGTGTGGTTATTTGGGAACTGGCTCGAAGGACAGAAAAAACTTTGCCTAAAAACCACTTTTTATTATTATTATTTACTTTGGCTTTTCAGGACAGTTTCTGGGTCTCTGGAACTCTTTTTGTAGAGCAAGCTGGCCTTGAACTCAGAGATCTACCTGCCTCTGCCTCCCAAGTGCTAGCATTAAAGATAGGTGTGTGCTATCATGCCTAACTCTTTTTTTTTTTTTTTTTTTTTGAGACAGGGTCTCACAATGCAGCACAGGCTGGCCTCAACCTTTAGATCCTCCTACTCACTTTGAATCCCAGCACTTGGGAGGCAGAGGCAGGAGGATCTCTGAGTTCAAGGTCAATCTGGTTTACAAAGCAAGTTCCAAGACAACTAGGGCTACATAGAAAAACCCTGTCTAAAAAAACAAATAATAGCACACACACACACACCTTTAGTCCCAGCACTCAGGAGACAGAGGCAGACAGACCTCTGAGAGTTTGAAGACAGCCTGGTCTACAGAGAGAGTTCCAGGACAGGCTCCGAAAATAAAATTAAATTAAAAAGTAAGTTTATATGTATCAATTAAAACTGCTGCAAACTGAATCCATACCCTTGAACATGACAGTCAGTGTCCCCCCCTCACTGACTACATCCACCCTACTTTCTTTTTTTTTAAATTTATTTATTTATTACATATTCAGTGTTATGCCAGAAGAGGGCACCACATTGACTTGTGGATGGTTGTGAGCCACCATGTGGTTGCTGGGAATAGAACTCAGGACCTCTGGAAGAGCAGTCAGTGCTCTTAACCTCTGAGCCATCTCTCCAGCCCCTCCACCCTACTTTCTAATTAATGATTTGCCCATAAACCCCTTGGTTACAGAATATCAGTAATATTTTATGCAAACAATTTCCCAGAAATCAATAACTGGATTTTAAGAAAACTGAAATATCTGCAGAAGCTACAGTTTAGGCAACCACTAAATCATAGAATTGCTATTATTAGCACATTATTTTGTCTTGTTTTAATTCAGTGCTGGCACTTGGCCTCTAGTTGTTTTTTATTTTAAAAATTACATTTATTTATTTATTTGTTGTGTGTGAGTGTGCCACAGCACTGGTACAGAGATCAGAGAACAACTGTCAGGGGCTGGTACTCTCCTTGCAATACGTGGATCCCAGGGATTGGACTCTGGTTATCAGGACGGCAGCAGGCAGCTAAACCCCTGAACCTCTTGCTGGTCATATTTTACATCGCGATTCAGACTTTACTTTTCACACTTAGAAATTTAGAGAAAACACTCGGGAGGCAGAGGCAGATGGATCTCTGTGAGTCCAACCTGGTCTACAAGGCAAGTTCCTGGACAGTCAGGGCTGTTACACAGAGAAATCCTGTCTCAAAAAACAGACAACAACAAAAAGACATTTAGAAAAAATAAAATGCTCATCTATGGATCAAAATTTACAATTATCAAAGAAAAATTAGCAGATCCTGCACCCCGGGCCCTTTTTACTATTTTAAATTTGAAAACAACAAAAAACTAGGGTTAGAGAGACGGCTTAGTTGGTAAAATGCTTGCTGCCCAGGTACAAACAAGGACCTCAGTTTGGAACCCTAGTAAACAGTCAAATAGAGCCTGGAGTATTTATAATCCCAGTGACAAGGAGAACAGATTAAAACTTGTCAGGTAGAACAAAGACCCCAAAAATCCAATTCTGAAAATGTCTTTCCAGGAGGTCAGAGGAGAATTCTGATCCTTGTGTCTCTATGTGAGGCTCTGTGTGAGCCTGTGAGAGAGACTGGGGAGGCACTGGACACCTCAGGATGGGCCAGCTGGATGGACCAACCCATCCCCTCCCCACACCTCACTCACCCATTACTGCCTTAAATGCTTTAAAAGCCTCAGACTAAGCTGGATGGTTTCCCACTCTCAGGGACCTGATCCTGCTGCAGTGAGCTCTGCCTTCTCTAAATCTTCCCCCTGTGGACCTATAATAAAACACACTGACTCCTGAGCTAAAGCCCACCTGAGGGGAGAGAGAGGCCTCCATCAAATGCCTCACATTCCCACATCACCAGTACAGGAAAGAGAGAATCCCTGAAGCCAGTTGAATCTGGGAACCCCAGGTTCAGGAGAGACCTGACTTTAAAAGAAAACAGAGGCTGGGCATGGTGGTACATGCCTTTCACCCCAGCAGTTGGTAGACAGAGGTCAGCGAAGCTCTGTGAGTTCAAGAAAGGCCTCAAGAAACCAAAATGAATGAATGAATGAGGGCTGGGAAGAAACCAAAATGAATGAATGAATGAGGGCTGGGAAGATAGCTAGGCGGATCAAGCATTTGGTGTGCAAGTACTAGAATCCACATAAAATCCAGTGTGGGGGTCATCTGTGCTCACCGTGGACCAGGGACAGAGAATGCTAATTTCTGGAACAAGTAGCTAGCCAGACAGCCAAAAAGGCTCGAGACCTTGCCACAACCACAATCGAGGAAAGCACCTGACATCAACCTTGAGCCTGCACACGCGTGCGTGCGCGCGAGCGCGCACGCGCGCGCACACACACACACACACACACACACACACACACACCACGCCCCTCCATGCAAACCGCATACTAACAGGCACACACAACACACACATGCAGAATAAATAAAAGAAAATCAATGGCAGCTGGGAACAGTGGCACTTAGGGAGCTGAAGCAGAAGGACCACTGCAAACTCAAAGGCAACGTGAGCTACACAGGCTATTCCAGCAAAACCTTGTCTCAAAATAAGTAAATAAACAGATATAATTAAAGCTCATAGTAATCCCATCAATTGTGTAGAATTTAAACAATAAAGAATTGTTGACAAGTGATGGAGAGCAGGAGGGCTGTAGCGGTCTAGTTACTGCTTACAGTATTATAGTCCATCCCTTGTATCTGGGTGGACTGCTTCCTATTTACCTCTTGGACTCGTGACTGTTCTATAGTTAAGCTCCTCTGAGTTGCTTTGCTAATTTTCTCATCCTTTTCATTGCATTTGGGTTTTACTAGGGCGACAAGGGATATGCTTTTCTAATGTTTTATAAGCCAATCATCTAGCCTCAAAAGCTGAAATTACAGGCTTGCTTGTGTTAAACTCAGCTCAATTTTCTAACGCTGAAGAAATTCAACAGAAAGAGAAATCTGGAAGGATGCAGGGTGGAGATTACAAACCGCTCTCACCGACTGAGAACCATTCGGGACCCAGAGGCAACAACATCTTGTCTAAAGTGAGAGCAGCCACAACTCAGCCACCTCCTACGGCATCCCCACACAGACTGTCCCAGTACCCAGACAAGTGAATTCATTTCACCAGGAATCAATAATCTAAGTGGCTATTTAAGCTGTCTTGATTTTTTTAATGTTGCAAGGAAATTCAAATTGTAAAAACCATACAGTGTAAACAAAATGCACCCACAGCTGTGGTGTGTCTCCAGGCTGCCAATTTTCCCAATGAGAAATGTTACACCAGCTAAAGCAGAGACTGCAAAAATGTGCTTCATTCCTGCCCTTTTCCTTTCCTAAAATGTGCTGTTTTGGAAAAATCCAAATACACTGACATCATATTTATAATTACGAGTTTAATGAGAAAAGAAGCATCGTTCGAGAAGGTAGTTGGGAGGGGACTGACCCTGTGAATCAAGGCCAAGAATACTGTCACCTAACTGGAGTACAACAGATTGTTTAGCCACAGGCAGACCACATTTTCTTTCCCAGAGTAGTTAAGTCAGAAGATTTGCCTCCCTTGCTCACAAAGGGAGGAAATACTTCCTCCACTCAGGACAGCTGCAATCAGTTCTCCCAGACAAATCGTTAAACCTGAAGGATCTTGAGCACAGAGCCCAGAAGACGAGGCTGCCTGCCTTCCAGCCTCCCCGCCTCCCCACTACTCCAGCACCCGCACCTTTCAGAGGTAAGTGTTTGTTTGAGAACTCCCCCCTCCACCCCAAAGCTTCACCCTCTCCCCCTCCCTCCCTCTCTTCCTCCCCACCACTCCCAGGCAAGTGAGTCAGACAGACAGTAGGTAAGAAAATCAATTTAAATCCTTTTATCTAGATCTCATTTGAATTGGCATTTGGCTTATTGTGAAGGCTTATTCAAATTAGAAGGAAAATAGAAGCCGCTCCCCACATTTCCGCAGGGAATTAAAGCCTTGTGTATCTTAGAGAAAAAGATGTAGACTGTCTTCTAACACCCCCAGCCTCCAGGCTCAGTTCCTTTAGGGAATAATAAAAATTAAAAGCAAGAATTTAGACAAGGCTTTGTCCTAGGTGGCCTTTAAGAATTCTTGGTTTAAGTGGAATAAAAATGCCCCTGTGAGGCAGGGCTGCTAGACTTCTCCATGTAAACCCCTAGGACCACTGAATCTGTGCCTGTGAATCCTTTCCATCCTTGGAAAGGTCTGCAAGCTTCCAGCCTCACTGTGAAATCAGATAAAGACCGCAGACCTCAACCCTGTCCCTGCCTACCTAAAAGCAGCAGGCCCAAGAAGGGCCCTTATTTAGGAGATAGCTAGCACCCTAGGTAGCAGAAAGAATGGAAATGTGAGTCCCTCCTTCAAAATCAACTTAGGAACCTCTTTCCAGAGCTTATGTTCTGCACGGTTCCCCCCTTTTGTTCTTTTTTCTTTTTTTACAGGCAACAACAGCAAGATTAGGTTTGAGCATTAACAAAAATTAACATGACCACCATTTACAATCTACCAAAAGTCTATTTCTGAAACTATTATCAGAATATTTAGGTATTTAGAACAAGTATGCCATTTTAACATCAAGCAAGAAAAGGAAAGAGTAACGACATCCTTGACCATATAAAAAAAAAAGGTGAGAGCCAGGAGTCTCACGCCTGCCTTTAATCCCAGCACTTGGGAGGCAGAGGCAGGCAGATCTCTGTGAGTTCGAGGTCAGCCTGGTCTACAGAGCGAGTTCCAGGACAGCCTCCAAAACAAAACAGAGAAACCCTGTCTCGAAAACAAAAAAGAAAAAAGAAAAAGATGAGAAACTTTGGCAGGGGAAGAGAATAGCCACTTTAAGATCACTGAATTTGATTACTACAAATACACATCTTAAAAAGCATAATATATTCTAATTATCTAAAAGTAAACTTTCAAGCATCAAATGAAAAAAAAAAAGGTTATTTTTATGGTGTGTGAGGTCCTCATGACCAAAATAATGAGACAGAGGTACTATGTAGTCCCTGAGTCCAATTGTTCCTAAAGGAATGCAGAGATACACATACTTCCTCAAGAAGTTCCTTTAACATAGCTCTAACAGGTTTTGAAAGTAGTGAAACTGTCCTGAATCCCATCTGTCTAGTAGAAGTTATTGCCACCCCTTCTTCCTACTCCTTAAGGTCTATAAACATCTCTTCCAGTAAGGAGATACATAACCCGACTAGGAAGTCTTTTAAAGAAAGGTTTGGATTCTGGGTGCTTGGGAACAAACCCCAAGCCCCTACCTACCACTGCCAAAATCAGCTCTCTTTCTCTTTCCAAAGGTGTGTGTGTGTGTGTGTGTGTGTGTGTGTGTGTGTTGTGTGTGTGTGTGTAAAATGTACATGTGGAAGCCAGAGGCCAACTCTATGGAGTCAGTTCTGTCCTTCTACCGCCTAGGTTCAGGGGCTCAAACCCAGGTCATCAGCTTGGAGGCAAGTGCCCTTAACCACTTGCTGGGCCTTCTCAATGTCCCCAAATAGGCTCTCTTAACAGACCTCCAAGACATTGACCGACCAAACTGTTTGTTTTTGTGTGTGTGTGGTTTTTAGAGACAGGGTTTCTCTAGGCTGGCCTGGAATTCCCTCTGTAGATCAGGCCTCGAACTCACAGAGATCCGCCTGCCTCTGCCTCTGAGTGCTGGGATTACAAGCATGCATCACCACAGTTCAGCCTGATTTACCAATCTTACCAATGTCCCATCCACTACCAGAGGGTGATTACTACTCAAGGGTGGAAGGTCTCAAGTACATTTACATAGGTCCACACTCAGATACTTATGGAAAACTGCAAGTCAAACCTTCTTAGGTTATGGGGACTGTGGGGGGGGGTCTTCAAAGCCGGACATATTGGCACACACTTGTCATCCCACCTACATGAGAAACCAATGCAAGATAAGCATGTGAGGCCAGCCCAGGTAATATACTGAGAGAAAACAGGAGAGACACTCTTCAAACATGTAACAAACTATAGAGCTCACTAAAGACAGATTTTTTTTGTTTTGTTTTGTTTTTATGGCAATTTAATTTACTACATCTTGGACTAATTCAAAAGCTGAACAAGCATATCTCAACACTTTTGTTTTAGGTGGTGTCTAATATATAAAGTAAGATACGCATTCCTAGGTCTCACTGCATACTGTGTTTAAACTATGCTTGACACATAGTATAATCTTTAATCAGTGTCTCTTCTCTTACCACATTTTGTAGTCTTTGTTGCTGGATACATCCTGCTATATCACAAAACAAAAGTGTGCTAAGTAACTGAGGCTTCTGGAAATTCTCCCCAATAGTGCCTTTTATGGATGAAATTGAGCTTTTGTATGGTTACAGGACACAGGCATGGGAAGACACACTGAGTAGCCTACAGCACTAACAATCACCCCCCTCCACAACCACATGAATCCTTCGAAACAGAAGAGAAATATGCCAAGATCGCTGTGCATGCTCATCGCTGTGCAATCAGGGGACTCCCTGAGGGCAGAGGGAGAATGCACGTCTCCTAGGCCCTAGAGGGCTCTGGAATCTAGAGCAAAGGGAGAGAGTGTGCAAAGCGTCTACTCACCACCCATGCAACTGACATCTTGTGCTTTTTCTAGGTTTGGTTCCAAACAACAAATACAAAATATGTGCTTCTGACTTGTTTTGTTTTGTTGTGAGATAGGGTCTAGCCTGGCTGCCATTTTTTGATTTTTCAAGATAGGGTTTCTCTGTGTAGGCCTGATTGTCCTGGAACTTGCTCTATAGATCAGGCTGGCTTTGAACTCACAGAGATCTACCTACCTCTGTCTGGGATTAAAGGTGTGTACCACCACCACCTGGCTCTCTGTTACCATTTTGGTTTTTTTTTGTTTTTGTTTTTGTTTTTCTTCAAGACAGGGTTTCTATGTGTAGCTTTTGGAGTCTATGCTGGCACTTGCTCTGTAGACCAGGCTGGCCTCAAACTCACAAAGATCCACCTGCCTCTGCCTCCCGAGTACTGGGATTAAAGGCATGCCCCACCACCACCCAGCTTCTGTTACCATTTTGAAAGCTGACTTCTTATCGCCTGATGGTTCAGTCTCAAATATCATACAATTGGGCTCATGGAGGATACAAGAGTCAAGGCAGTTCTTCAAAGGGAAGCTAACAGCATCCAAGCTTGCTTCCTTTCTATCTTCATACTGGTTATCTCTTGAACTTGGGAACTGAGGCTGCCTCACACAAAAATACATAGGACCAGGGCCACAGACTGTGTGACGATAGCTCGAAACCAATTTCTTAATTTCCTTGGAGTGAATGAAGTTCTCTCTCTCTCTCTCTCTCTCTCTCTCTCTCTCTCTCTCTCTCTCTCTCTCTCTCAGACACACACACACACACACACACACACACACACACACACTGTAAAAGAAAAGTTTAAATATACCAATAGGATTCTATCTCTTCACTAACTGAGCAGACTGACACTCAGTCAAAAAAACAAAAAAAACCTCAAGTCACCACCCCTGACAACCTGAGTTCAATCCCCAGAGTCCACAGTGGTGGAAGGAAAGCACTGACTCCTGCATTGTCCTCCGACCTCATACACACGCCAAGGAAATGCAATCTTAAAAAATGTCTCCTAGTCAACCCTAGCCACTATACCTAGACTTTTCACAAGCAGAAAATGTCCCCAGATAAAGGAGAGGGAACTTCATGTCACCTTGTTTCCTGCCAAAAGCAGGGCAGCAAGCAGCAGTGATTCCCAATTAAACAGCAAAAAGAAACCAGACAATGCTACAAAAAAGTGGCCAGGAAAAGACTAAATGTACATTCAGTGAATTTACTTTCTTTCTGGAATACTTGAGGGAAGTTTTTTTGTTTTGTTTTTGTTTTTTCTGTTGTACTAGGTTTCTAGCTCCTCCCAAAGATTTCCCCCCCTCCATTCCAGTTGTCTTCCCAGTACCCTATCCCCAATCTTTCTTTTAGACAGAAATAAGAAACACACACACACACACACACACACTCACACTTGGGACTGGCAAGATGGCTGGTGGTTAAGAGCACTGGACGTTTTTCCAGGGGACCAGGGTTTGATTCCCAGCATTGCATGGGAGCTCACAACCATCTGTAACAAGGTTCTAAGGGATCCAACACCCTCTCCTAGCTTCTGCATGGTACTCTACGCATGTGGTGTGCAACTAATGGGAAAAAAATCTTTTAAAAAAGAAAAAGAAAGAACATGCTCAAAATACAATAACATTTGCACAGCATCATCTCAAAAGTCAAATTAAGAGATATGAGGTTGGGCTGGGCGGTGGTGGCGCACGCCTTTAATCCCAGCACTCGGGAGGCAGAGGCAGGCGGATCTCTGTGTGTTCGAGGCCAGGCTGGACCAATAGCCTCCGAAACAATACAGAGAAACCCTGTCTCGTAAAAACCAAAAAAAAAAAAAAAAAAAAAAAAAAAAAAAAGAGATATGAGGTAACTAGAAAAAGAGTGGGCAGTGTAAGCAACTGAAAAATGTCCTCGGCCCCCTCACAGAGTACTAACAGATAGGCTCTCTAGGTATTTGCTTTCCTCAAACTGACATGAACGCAACCAACCCACTGAGGATTCATTCACAAGGCCACTTTTAGACCAGCTGGCAAGTAAGGGAAACTCCCCATATCTCTGGTCTTGTTAAGTGATTGACACCGTTTGCTCAGCTTTGATGTAGTAAATGACAACTCAGCTGTGGATTTC